TGAAGGTGAATTCATGAGACTTGCTGACAATGAAATTTTTTCTCCAGAACAAATTTATATTGCTGGCAAACAAAAATTTTCTGGGAATATGTGCCCCAAAATAACCTTGTTGACTTTGCGAAAAAGCCCTGCAAATGTTGCAGGAACGTATAAACATAATCTTAAAAAATTCATGACGTCAAGCATTTAAAGGATTAAAGATTTTCTGCACCATCTATCATTCAAATAAAAGAGCATGGATGACCCAAACATTAATGAATGGCTGGTTTTTGAAGATAATTTCTTACTGGACATTTGGCAGTATTTAAAATCGGTTGGTTCACTGGATGATGCAACTATTTGGCTTATTTAAAGTTTCAGTGAAAGATAATTTCTCCATCTCTTTCTTTCCTCCAAATTGTGCATCCATTATTCAGTCAATGGATATTGAGGTACTTCCTTATTATAGCAGCCATAGCTTATGCTTTGTCAAAATTTGGCTGCGTTTAAGACTGATTTGATGAAAATTAGAAACTCCATGGCAGTGGTCGGCACACTCATCTGTCAAGAGTAAAGGATCCGAAGTAAAGTGATTAAGATTCCTTTTGAGAGTCAAATTTCATTTCAACAGTCATATTTTTAGGAGTCAATTTAAACTACTTACTAACATTTAATCAAACCAGATATTATAATAACAACAATAATAATCTTAATTACTGACGAAAAATATTTTTTACATTAAAATGAAAATATGACAAAACATGTATTTAATGTGAACAATGACGTCGCATTTCCGTGGAAAGTTTGGATAAGTCAGGTTTATATGCCACTGCTTTTAATTTCAAGCAGGATTCCAGGTTCTCATTGGTTGGATGATTTCTCAATTTACTTTTGTTAAGGTTCATGCTTCAAAAAGTTTGTTTGCAGGAATATGTAGAACCAAAGACTGAAAGAACAGCAAACTCTAGTTTTATTAACTGTTCATATGAGTCAGGAGTACCATTCTAGGTGTTGAAAATTATCAAGTCTTCCTTTGCCAGGTTTTTTAAAGCCGATCACTTTTGGCATGATGTTTATTTTTCTCCAGTTTTTCCATATCAGCAGTAAGAAGTTCAAGTTTAGATCATCGTAATTCTTTGTTTTTTTTTTAAGTATAGTAATTGCATTTCAAAAGCACTAATGTCAAAATTAAAGAGTGAAAATTCAGTTCAGTTCCGTCAGCACCGAGAGGTTTTTTTTTTAAATTTTTTTTTTATAACAAATGCTTGTAATGTTAAATAAAAATATATAGTCGGCCACTTTCTCAGAGTGTACAACAAAGCCTGCACATGGGCTTAACTTAAAATGATCTTAAAATGTAAGAAACAAGAATTAACTGAAGAGATTTAGCCGAAGATAACACAATTCTAAACTAGTTGGCCCATAATATTAAACTAGCCAATGAAGCTATCAAAAGGCATGTAAGATGGCCGAGCATAGTTAAAGGGACGTAACCAAAAGACAAACGCACGCTATTCAGGAATCCTTACTCTCTCTCTCTCGAAGTCAGTGGAACTTTCACTTAAATACTTTCTACTTCTCATTTGCGTTTAACTCAATTCTAAAACCCCATTCTGGTAATAAATTGTAAGCTGAGGAAAGGTTCATAAACTTAAAATAACTATTATAAAATTGAATCGATTATTGTTGAAAGGGCACATGTCCATTTTTGCAAATTTTGCACCAGGCAATAAAAACCTAACATTTTCCAGAATAAAGTTACCACATATTTCGATTCCCAAATAAAAAGAGATAGTCAAAAACAGCATTGTAGGCATTTTTCACAATGTTAACTCCTATTTTAAAATTTTTAGGCAATTTTTAATCTTGTGGACATGTGCCATTTCAACAATAAAGAGGCAGAAAGGGATAATATATATGGATTTTTCTCTGAATAACTTACTTTTGCCTAAGACGGGTTTTAATACGATATCCATTACTTTCAGGAATGTAGCTTAAGCTGTACGGCATTTCCAAAAAGGCATACAAGCCTGACTTCGGCATGAAAGCTGTTTTCTCGACGTTCTCGGATTTTACTGCAATTTAAAAATATCCTGACGTCAGGTCTAGCCTAGCGATCGGATTTTTCTGATTATCTCAGCAATAATCGGCAGGTGGTAAATAGTATATTTAGTTATACTATTCAGTTTACTGTAATCAACCGCGAATCTCCACGAATTCGGATCTGAGGGTGTTAAGCCGTTTTTCTACGCAAGATCGGTAGCCCCTACGCAAGATCGGAAGTTTTATGTTTAAGATCGGTATTTTTATGTAGAAACATAAAAATACCGATCTTGCGTAGGGGCTACTACTCAGAATAATTATTTATTTGCAAGCATTTGTTTAATATGCTGTTCCAAATTTCTCCCTTCACCTGATCGTACTTATAAGGCTTAGATCGAACTGAGAGGGCATTTCCGATGCTAATTTTGAGGGCTATCAGCGGCCGAGCAGTAAAGACGCTGAACACTGGTAGTTCGGTCCGAGGTTCGAATCCCGCGAACGGGCTGGTTGCATGGGCGTTTTTGTGGTTTTCCCCATGTGTAACGTGTATGCGAGCCAGTTTCCCTTAGAAAGTCCTTCACGAAGGCATCCCTCCCTATAGGCAGATAGCCCTCGTGTGCTTTGTCATAATTAAATAATTCAATCCAATCCAATCCGATGCTAATTTCATGCTGCACCACTTGGCAGAAACCAGGCTTCTAATCAAATAATTTGCAAAAATTTCTTACCAAATTTTCCATTTTCTTCTCTTCCTGGAGGTGGAATGGTCCCTTCTTCTGGAATATATATAATAGCCCCTCTTCTTCTTCTACGACATCCATCTGGACTTGTATGGTTGGGTTTTTTTTAAATCTTGTGCTTGCTGCGCATAAAATGTGGACCCCCAAAATAACCTATGTTAGTAGACCCTTAGCAACAAGAAAATTCACTTTTTGTGTCTCATTTTTGATTTGAACGTGAAGCCGTACTTTTCCAATGCAGACACACTGTTTTTCTTAGGGGGCAATTACTCTCTGTCCCGTGATTTTAAATAGTCTGTAACGGCGAAACTTCTTTTTTTTTAAAAAAGAGTTATGACAAAAAACTGAATTGTGCTTCAGTGTCGAGTAAGGTGGTAGTAGGGACGTTGTTCAATAAAATGTGACTTCCGGTAATGCTAAATTTTGTACAACTACGGTATTTAATTTAATTTCCAAAGGATTTTTCTTCCCAGGGGGTCACCGGCCTGAGCAGTTTAAATCCTTTTTTCCTCCCCTTGCTTCTGCTGCTTCTTACAGCGATCTCCAAAGGCCCGTCTTCATAAGAGGTTAGGTTAGGTTATTTAATTACGGCAAAGCCTCGAGGGCTATCTGCCTAAGGGAAGGAATGCCTTCGTGCAGGACTTTCTAAGGGAAACTGGCTCGTATACACGTTACACATGGGGAAAACCACGAAAACACCCATGCAGCGAGCCTGTTCGCGGGATTCGAACTTCGGACCGAACTACCAGTGTTCAGCTACTTTACCGCTCGGCCACTGGTGGGCTCCGTCTTCATAAGAAGTGCGACCCGTGTGAAAGAAACTGACTAGTCTTCTTGTTACCTCCTTTGTCATTCTTCTGCGATTGCCGATAAGGATACTGCGTACTTTGAGATTTCTGTTGAGACGAAAATCTCGAATACTGGCGGAAATATGTTGAACGTGCGTTTTCAGCCGTTGGAATTTCCTGGGAAGCTGAAATAGATTTTCCAGTGTCTGTGGGTTTCGTACCTCCTGGAAATCCTGAATCAAAGGAAGCAGACGCGACAAAATTACTTCGATTAGTTCGTTATCCGGCCTCTTTCTGTGCAATAGATTGAATATTTGTATCTTTCTCAAAATACAGTCAGTCAAATCTTCGCCGTTCGTCTGGTATATGCTGAAGATCTCTGCTTCCAGCTTCGCTCGGTCTTTGACTACGGGAAACGTTTTTAATAGCGCGGTTTTAAAACTTTCCCAGGTGTAAGTTTTGGAACCTGGATCCCCCAACAGGAATTTTCCAATGGCCCTTAAATCAACTCAGGGCCTGGCCTTTTAAGTTAGCCATAGCAGTTGTAACTTTCTGCAGCTGGTTTACGGAATGTAATGTGAAATGCAACCCTAGCTGCTCCAGGGAAGTCATTACTGAACTTTTGCCATCAAACGCCGCGGCTGGCTTCATAGCTGCTCGCATGGTTCCTGCGATGAAACCGAATCCCCTGATAGGGCTTGCTGGTGGCTCAGGGATTTGAAAAGTCGGAGGGGTGAGCATAAATTTTCCTTTATTTAACAACATGGTTGGTCAAAATACTTCGGGCACCAATACCGTAGAGACATTAGGTATTTTTTGAAAGCAAAGCAAGACCGCGCCGTGACACGGACCTCTGGAATACGCGTCGAGTGTGCTGACCACTACACCACGAAGGCATGCTAACAGCTAACATCACTATGCTATTTCTTGATTCCTGAACATCTGTAGAAAAGCTTCCATCATATTTAAAATTATTGTTGAAATAGTAAATGTCAATTACTAAATTATTACTATAATTAGTAACGATTAATTATTATTAAACGAAACGTTCGTTTTGGACAAAAAAAAAAGGACTGAGAAAGGAATAGCAGTATCCTATGCAAAGCATAATTTCATGTCGAATGAACAACTAAAAAGATTACTTCTTCCATAATTACAAATTGTTATCAATTTCATTAAAATGTGGTGATATTATGAGTAAAAAATTTCAGAGCTAATGCTGTAAAGTTTTCTAACTTTATTGCATAATTTTTTTTTTAACTTGTGCATATTCTTTGAACTATTTTGTACATTTAAATAATAACAGTGTTTTTTAATTCAGAACTTACGAATTACAAACTATACTTAAAAATGAATTTTTTTAGCATGTGTGTGCTTTCATTGTTTGTTTTAAGTATATTTCTGTATGACTTTTTAATATAGAATTATGACATTTTTTAATAATTTTTAGGGCCAATGACAGTTTGAGTTCGTTAACACCTTCCCAGTCTCAGGATTCCTGTTTTGATCAAACTTCTTGCAGTAGTTGCAGCCCATCAAAATGTGATCCATCTGATTCTGTTTACGAAAATAGCATTTATCAAAATGTTGATTCTGATAGCTTGCTGTATGAAATTCCTCCTCCTCCTTCCCTTTTCTCTAGCAAACGATATTCTGATCCGTTACAGCAATGTTCACTGTATCAGAATGTGACTTTGTCAGATTCAAATGAAAGAAAAGGTAAATTGCTATCATGATGTAATTTTGTAAGTAATTTTATGGTCCAAGTTTCTTATTTTTATTGTATATAGATGAAGTACTTTCATTAAGATGAACAAAGTGATAGATGTGAGAGTATTTAATCATGTCATCATGTACTATGAGAGTTTTTAATTTTAAAAGTTTCTTAACTTAATCATGTGTTGGATAAAATTTAACACTTTACTTGTGTAAAATGCACATCTGTGTCGTATAAATAAAAAAATAATAAGTGTACATTTCCGTTTTGCAGGCACAAATCTCGCCAAGCAGACTTTGTTGGTGACAACATACAGTATACACATAAAAAATGTTAGTTGCAAGAGTTTTTTTTTTTATTTTAAAGGCATAAACATTTTAATATGGTTTAAAATTTTGTAAAAAGCCAATGAATTTGTAAAAAGACATTAATTTAAGAATTTACTACGCTATCATGGTTCAACATCCTGATTCGCCGGTTCGTATCACGTGACCCCAGGTGATTTCATCTCACTTAAACTACGCTACAAAATTCTCTCAGTAATTATCTTTTGGAATACAAGTTTAAATGCAAGAATTATTTCAATTCGTACGAATAGCTTACTCAGAAATTATGTAAAACCGCACTGCTTTACTTCGCTAGTACATTCTCATTAGAATTGATGAATTTAACCCTTGATTTTGCCTTTTCTATATTTTCGCCTTCAGGTGAGCGGTGTGATTGCATCCTAATTGACTTCATTACCGCGAATGGGTCTTAGGGCATAAAGTTTAATTATCTTTGTAAATACTCTATGTAATTGTATGCCAGCATTGAAAGAAACAATAAGTCTGGTAAGAAATGGCTGCGACTTGTTTTGAAAATAAGGCGTGAAAGGTTGCCAGCGAATATTAAACAGATATAATATTTAGATCTGATCCTTTCAGGTTTATATTGTGGATTTACACTATAGACATAATAGTATAAATTTCTAGCTTACTCAGAAATTATGTAATTATTACTCATTGTACTCAGAAATTATGAAATTACTCAGAAATTATCTAATTATTCCGTTTGGCATCAGTTGTACCATTATTGGCGACTTTATCGCTTGCCCCGGCAAAATGGAAAAGTACCAAAATAGCAAGAAAACTGTTTTTAAGCTATATTTTAGAGTAGCTTACAAATATGATATGTGTTAATGCTTAATCCGGTTAGATAGGTGATCCATCAGTGGTTGAGGCCTGAGCATTAAGATTTAAAAAAAAATTTTCTTCAGCATTTGCACATGCTGCAAAATTAATAACTTTAAACAGATATGCAGGAATTTACTACATAGTATCATATTTGATTTAATACACAAATTATAATTTCTTCAAATAGTTTGCTGACCAAATTCTGTATTTTTTAATACAATTTTGATCACTGATAAGAATTGATATCCAGCCGTTTATTACATATGATTGTATTTGTTATAATACAGAAATTACAGTTTCTTGAAATAGTTTGTTGACCAAATTCTTTATTTTGTTCTTTCTCTGTGAAATTTTTGTCACTGAAAAGAACAGATCCTAATTTTTGCTTGTATATTTTTGTATGTATCATGGAATGTTTTGAAAACTCATATAGCATTAAGGTTTTGGCTTTATGCATGTAGGACATTTTGATAGTAAGTTTTTTCATTTTTTTTTACGCAGAAATTTTATTTCCAAACTAATACACCATGACATCGTGAACTGTACACCTAGCACTATTTTTGGATGTTGCCACTGACATTGAGACATTTAAGACAGGTATATCGACAATGAATTTTTTGCTCTTAATGGAGGGGGACCCGTTTTGCCCTCGAAATCGATTGGGATTTTACAAAATCTATGCCGAATGCAAGGTTGTTGATTTGTCTGTTTTATTTTCCATGTCGGCATGTTTCTCTTGCGTCTTTGATTGAGATGTTTGTTGTAACATGCGGTCAGTTTGAAGAAACCACTCTGGTAAAACTTAGTGCCCTGTGTACTAGGAATTGTCACACAGCCTGCTCCACCTCAGTATTGTTTTGGAAGTGACATCCCGAGAGTGCAGCTTTCAATGCAGGGAACAGGTGAAAGTCTGATGGGGCAAGATCGGGGCTGTGGGCTGGGAGATCAAATCTCTCTGGTCTGAAGTGACGAATCTGATCTTGCGTAAGCTTTGCTGCATGTGGTTGTGCATTGTCATCCAAGAGTACACCTTCACTCAAGAGCCCTGGTCTCTTTTGTTGAATGGCAGACCTAAATTTCATGCTGGTGTTGCCATAGAATACTTCATTGATTGTCACTTCATCCATCATGCAGAAAATCAAGGAGAATAACATCTTTCATGGTTCAAAAATCACTGTGGCTATAACCTTTCCTGCAGAGGGTGGCACTTTGAATTTTTTCCTCATTGGTGAACTGTGATTCTCCCATATCATTGAGTGACCTTGGTTTCTGGGGTAAAATGTGTGCTCATTTCTCATCATCTGTGAAGATTCTGAACAGGAACTCATTTCTTTCTTGCATGTACCACATGAAGTGATCAAGATTGATCCCCATTCTTGCACTCTTGTGATAGGAGGTCAGGTTTTTCAGCACCCATCTTGCACATACTTTTCAGTATCAAAAAGCATGTGATGGGTCTCAGCATAACCAGTATGCAGTGTGGATGCCACATCTCGTGCTGTTATGTGCCTATCTACTAACATCATGTCGTGTACTCTAATAACATTGTTTTCACTCATGGATGTGAAGGGATGCTTATTTCAAACTTCATCCTCCACACTCTGCCTTCCTTCAATGAACATGCAACACCAGCAACAAACCATTTGATGAAACATGATCTCTTCACCATACACAGTCTGTAGGTATTCTGTAGACACACTAGGCATTCATGAATGACAGACACACTAGTCCCACGTGCCCATTCGTATCGGATAACAGCATATGCATCCAATGGTGACCGTGTTGTCTGCGTACATCTGTCTACCATCATGATTTGTACTCGAATGACCTCGGGATTGGGAACTCCACTCTGCTGCTACTTTCTCTTCTTGGGACCTCTGTGCATCCATCATTCCTCTCCATTCTTCTCTCTTATTTTGATTATCAGCATATCTTTTGAATAAATTTATACTATTATGTCTATAGTGTAAATCAACAATATAAACGTGAAAGGATCAGATCTAAATATATCTGTTTAATATTATTTTTTGTAGATTTATACTTTAGAATAATTAGTTAAAGTTGCTACTGCTATGTGCATCTATCCTGCGGAGCATTTAAATTTTTATTAGATATGTGGGCGTAACCATATGAACAATCCTCACTTCTCTTGGTTTTTTTTTTGGGGGGGGAGGCATGAATGAAGCTATATGTAATTCAGAGAAGTAAATTTGATTTTTTATATTTTTAACCATGGTAGTAGCAAATAATATTTTAATTTGCTAACATTTTTGGGTGAATTTCTTGGCCTGTGAGAGAGTATCTGAAGCTCTTAAAATTAGGTTTCCATATGCATTTATGTCAATATATCTATTAACATATTTGCCCGAGTACATACTACATGCACATTTCAAAATTAATTAATATCACTATAAACATTAAAATTTTTCCTTAATTAACTTTAATACATTTGTGTTAATTAAAAGTTGTTTACTTTAGACATATGAATATTTATCACATGTCTAGTGTCTATATATATCTGTGCTATCTAGTGTCTATATATATCTGTGCAGCAACCATGCAACGAACTTTTAAATTAAATGTTAACTGTTTGTCTTTTTCATACATAGCAGTACTGCAACTAAACTCTGAACATTTTTTCCAAGTGAAGTGAACTAATCCTTATGAGTTAGTTTTCCTCGTGCCTGTGCTGTTATTGCTAGCGTGCAGAAACGCAGCGTGATATGTTTTGGTAGCATGTTCTTTTCTTTTGCTATGTAATTGTAACATTTAATTATAAAATGTGATTAATTGAATAAGTTTAGCTTATTTGTGAATATGCAGAATCAACCTGCCGTATCTGTATAAAGAGAAAATCGTTACCATCTAAACCAAAAATTAAAAATTAAAAAAATTCTCTTTTGCTTGGGTGAATTTTTGAACTAATTCATTATACCAATGCAAGTTCAATTATTTTATTATTCAAGTATCACCTTTGCTTTCATGTTCTGTAGATGATTTTGGGCTTTTTGTACAAATTTTAAGGGCAAGAAGAAAATACAAAAGCAGACTCTTTTATGCCTGCAAAATCCAACCAGATATGTTGCAGAGTATCCTGAAATAAATAAAGGAAAAAAAGGGGGCCGGTTCATTAGCGAAATTCATTAGCCATAGTTTTACATTTTGACAGTCTAAGTACAGTAATAGACAAAGTACAAAATTTTTTCGCATTTGCACAGTTTTAAAATGGCTGCTCTAAACTACAACCACCAACAGTTAATCTTGGCCTTCAATATAAGCACATGGATTGCCATGCATTCTTGACAGTGCTGGCATTTCAGGGGTATTTCTTATAGCGACCTCTGTTCTTGGAATAAGGTCTGTTTCAAAGTAAGTTTGGAATCCTGGTAAATCATGGCTATAAAGGCATAAAAAAATCAAGGTATGATAAATCTGCTGTCTGTGGTCGCCAAGCAGTTGGTCTTCCCATGTGTGTGTGTTCCTGTAGTTACAACAACCTCAGCATTATTAATTTTGCCTCCTTCCTCTGTTATATTTCCTTCAACTTCAAGCTTATTTCTATTTCTCTTAGCTGTATATTGAAAGTCTCTATGGTTATTATTCACTTCAGTTTTAGTTGTGGTAAAAATTAGTTTTAAATCGTCATCAACTATTTTTGGAACTGGCTATAAGTTTTTGCTTAAAGATGGTGCTTACAGAGTATTTTCCACTCTTAAAATGCTCATTTTCTGTCAGTTTGCATTTTAATAGCACCATTACCAACTAACTTAATCATAGTTCCTTCTCAGCTCTCATTGTTTGTCATTCTTTATATTTGAAACTAGCAA